TTTAATATAATTTAACCAAGTTTTACTTTTACCATTTAGACGTTTATCTAAACTCTTGATTTCGTCCAGCAACCTTAATCTAAACTCATTTTGGGTTTGACTAAATATTTGAATCTTTAGTTTCGCTAAATTTTACTAAGCTTTTGATATATTTTTACTATTCTTATAAACTATGATATAGTTTGAATTTTATAGATTTTTTTAATATAATTTAATCAAATTTTACCTTTATTATTTAGACATTTGGCTAAACCTAGATTTATCTAGCAACTTTAATATAATAAATTTAAAAATAAGAAAGATTACTTGAAAGTTTATGTTATCATTCAAAATAAGACTTATATATCTAAAACTTATAGCTAGTATGAAAAAATTAAAAAAATTGAAGAATTTAAGATATATACTTGACAGAATTGTAAACTGTAATAAATTAAGATAAAAATGATATTTAGAGAATCTTTCTTCTGATATTACTTAATGAAATTTAATTCTTTTTAGAAATAATGTAAAAATAATAATTTTACTTAACAATGCTTAGTGTTGCCTATAATTGATGTTAAAGATGGACACCATAATTAAGAAGTTGCAACTCAATAAGTTACAATTTGAGTTGCAACTTGGTTGCAACTCCTTACAAATTTTTTTTAATATAAAAATTTATAAATAGTTGCAATAAGTTAAAAATTTTAAAAATAATTATGGGAACCATCTTTAATTGATGTATTACAATTCATCTACTGTAGCAAGCTATTAATAAAAAAATTATATCAAACTTAATCTTAAAGCAAATAATGAAATCTATAAGAATTAATTTTTATATAAGTTTATTTGCTTACATAAGAGGTTTTTTTTAACTTATATATAAATGTATCAGAAAAAAAAAGTTATTTAGAAAATTCCATCAATAATTTTAAATTGTATTATATATAATATATTAAACTATTATGATCTGATTTTATCATTAGAAAAGAGTTAACTATATACTTTTTTTTCCAATCATTACTAAATATTCATTCAATATAGCAGTTTAAAGTTATTTGATAATTAAGTTCATATATGCATAACCAATCATAATAGTGACTGTACAACTGTTCAAATTAGTTATGAATCATCAAGGTTTTTTGGCAGATTGATGTTCTGAGTTATCAACTTCTCTATTAATAAAAATATTTATTAATATATTAGTCGACAAGTTGTTTATCTTGATACATATTTTTGATTAATCTACTTACAGTTTGCGTTTTCCAGAAGCTCTAGGTTTAGGGCCCCAATTCTTTTCAGGATTTTGTTGATATCTTACCAACTTAACTTTTCTTGAAGGAGATTCGGCATCTTTATGTATTTTAAAATCTGCAATAAAACTGTAAACAACAAATATTTTAAATTAAATGACATAAACATTATTCAAAAGTAAATTTCAATTGCAAACCTTGGTTCAACTGCTAATAACTTTCTTGCGGGTGAATTCTCTGCAATATTCCTCATTGTAACAGGATGAAGTTTTACCTAACGATGAAATTTCATTCTATTATTATTATTATTTTTTTTAAAGGCGTAATTTATAAGTAATATATCTACCCATGATCTCATTACGTCCCAAATTACATCCATTGGAGCATCAGTTTTTACTGAACCTGCCATTACATGCGATGCTGATACTTTATATCCTTTATTTAACAGTGCCGAACTACAAACGTATTATTATTTTTTTTTTAATAAAAATAAAAAAATTATAATAATGATATTATTTACCAAAATAATTTCAATGATGGATTTATACAATTCAGTTTACTTGAAAGCAATGAAATACTATGAAAGAGTGGAACATCTATTTCCTAAAAAATTGACAGGCATTAACATTAAATTTTGCTCATTTTCACATTTAAAGATGATGATAGCTCTTAAATTACCTCTGAAATAACTGTTAACATTCCTAACATACGTGCATGGGTGCCATACACGTCCTTATTTGAATTTTTTACATGCGTAAGCATTCTTTGAACAAATTCCTTATCATGCATGGAAGAGTTCCATAAAGGACCCCCAACCTAAATTTTTTTTTTATAAAATTTTTAAAGTCAAAGTTCAACTTAAAAAACAAAGGTGATAAAATCATTCGTGTCATAATTACATGAAATTTATTTTCACATTGTTTACATTTGCTATTGACAATAGGTCCAACCATCGGTACAAAATTTTTTTCTGTCATCTTAGCTAATGGCTGTAAATAAAATGATTTGCAGCCTGAACATAAGTATACATATGACGCTTTACTAATATTAAAGAAATCATAAACTTAATATATCTCAAAATGATGTAAACAAAACCTAATTAAATAAATGTTGCTTCTTTGCTTACCAGCAATTTTTCTTTACTTCAGCAGCTGAGACTACAATACGAACAAATACCCTAATATAAAAATCTATACTACATGACACCAAAGGCATGATTTGTCTTTGATATCTCGCTGCACAAGTCGATAATGCATTAAGAAGAATTCTCAAAGCCTTTCATAATAAAGATTTTTTACTTTAAATTCAAGTTGCAGAGTATATCTGTGACAAATATACAATATATAAATAACGAACCATTTCATGGCAAAATTCTCCCCTAACAGGTATCGATCCATAATTTGCATAACTAAAAATGAAAAAAAAATTTTTTTTTTTTTAAGAAAAATTTTATATATAATAAATGACTAGGTAAAAACACTTTACCATTTTTCGGGATAAGTTGAGCCGGTTAGAACCGCCAAATCGGTGCAAGTAATGCAAAGCAGGCCTAACCTATCAGCCAGTAAGTATTTATCGAAAATGAAAATAAATTTATGTATAACAATTTAATCATACCTCCATTTTGTACAGACTGTACTGCCGCGTCTAGAAATGGTGCGGCTGTTCCATATGGATCAATATCGACGACATCAAATCGATTATGATATTCTCGATGCTGATACATAAAGGAACTTTAATGAAAGAATCGTTTCAGTAAATTTAATCCTTTCAAAGGTCACAAAATTGACAAGTATAAATAAAAGCTTACCATGCATCACCTTGGTTTGCTCTGACCAATTCTTTACTCAATTCATTATATTCCACATTTCTATTAATTGAATTAACAGCATCTACATCCAAATCATTGACTACTATATAATCGATGTTGGGTATTTCCTTAGCATAGCGAATCGATCTTAAGCCACTTGCTGCCAAGGCCTCTAAAATGGTAAACTTTGACTTTGCTATTGATGTGCCAGTTTCATGTTTTTTACGTGCTTTTTTTTCTTTTTCTTCTAAATAAATTTCACTCCAAGTTCTTATTGCAGCAACTGACATATCCCTATTAAATTGTTGTACATTGTTATAAAATACCGCATTATCTTTTGGAAATAATATACTAGCTTTTCCTTCAGTAATTATACTGAACTCATCACTTTCAATATTAGTCATTATTTTTTTAATAGAATTTGAGTATTTTCTAGTTTTACTACTCGAAATGTATAAGGATTTCCGACTTATTCTATTGCTAATTCTAACATAACCATAATTGCACAAGAACTTATTTATTTTTTGAAAAGCCACGATAAAATAAAAAAATGTCTAAACCCCTATTTTGATTGGATAAATATTAAATATTAGATGTGAAATAATATGAGAAATTTGTTTATCGAAGGTAAAAGTCTAATTGGTTCTGATTATTTTAAAAAAATTATTAGTTTTAAAGATTAAATTTTATAATTATATTCAATTTTTTAATTAAAGTTACTTTTTAAATTTTTTTTTAAAATTTAAAATATCTTTAAAATTTTAGACCTTGGACCTAGATCTTAGGACCAGGTCCTAAATTAAGTATATTTATTATTTTTAAAGAATTTTTTTATTTTAAATTAATAAAATAATTGATATATGGGAGGTTTGTTAGGAAAATGGAACTCTGAAAATTTTTTATTAAAATTTTAATTTTTATTGCATTTTAATTTTTGATAATGTTAGATTAAAATGCAATAAATCTTAAAATTTTAATAAAAAATGCTTAGAGCCCTATTTTTCTAGCAAACCTCTCATATAATAATTATTAAAAGATTAATTTATTATTAAAAAATTTAATTAATAGTATATAAAATAAAATTATCTTTAAATTCTTTAAGACTAATTAGAAATTATTAGGACTTTTACCAACCTTAGATATAACCAATTAGATTTATACAGTAACCGCTTACATTAAAAAACTCTCTCCTGTTTATCCTAAAAATGACCAGAAAAAATAGTGAGCAAAAAAACAAACAACGAGGACGTTTGTCTTCACTGTTAACTATGCAAAAAGCCAAAAAACAAAATACTACGCAAACTGTGGATATTCTACTAACTCAACAGACCTCAGAGATGTTGGAACCAGTGGTTACTATGGAAGTTGACCTGACTCTTTTAAAAAAAGGCAAAGAAAATGAAACTTCAGAAGAAACTCCAAACAAAACTACTACCACTCTCAACGTTGACACTAGTTTTGACGATCAGAGAACTTTTTAGATAAAGATATAACTTCGTTACAAGCTTTTACACATCAAAAACCTTCCTTCTATAGATATTTTCCTCTTAAAGAATTTCCAGGAACAACACCGCAGCAAAAAGTTTCGTTCGTTGTTGAGTTGCTTTTTGATAAGTATGATTCATTCGCAGGTGCAAACCTTGCCAAACACCCAAAAGACCAATCACAACATATCATCAAAATTTCCTTTCGCAATCAGGAAGAATGAGATTATGCATGTTCAGTTCCATTATCCAATTTAGAAAACCGCACGTTCCTACTACTCAATATTGTATAAGTATCACCATATGTTCCTGCAAGGTCGATCAAGGTGACAGAAATCCCTCTGGATTCTACAGAACACAGAATCAAGACAAAGTTCGCCAAATTCAGAATGATCGTCTATTTCACAATGGAAACAAAGAATATGTGGTAACAAGCCACTATCACCTTCGCAGAGGATGCAAATTTTAAAGAATTGAAAGATTGCTACAGTCTCTTCATATTAAATGATATGGTCAGAGTCCACATGTATGACCAATCTCGTTCTGATATTTTAGCACGCTCCAAATTTTCAACAAAGCTTGCTGGTCTTCCTAGGTTTACGACTGGTAAATAACTTGAAGAAATTGGAACAATGGTCAATGCTATTTCTTGGGTTATTCCCAAAGCCTGGTCTAACTACCAAAATTTACAACATGCATTTTTCTACTTTGTCACTGCAGATGATGCTAAAGCTGCAATTTCTAATGAAAATCTTACAATAGATAGAAAACACGTGATTTGGACTAAATCAAAGGCCAAACTTTGTGCTATTTGCTCGTCACTAAATCACAATGCTAATGAATGTCTACGATGTAGGAAATCTCTGTCTGATAGAAACATGCAAAATCTTTATCAAAGATTTCAACTTGCACAATTCTCAAATTATAAGGCTCCATCCAAAAATATGAGAGGTGCAGTAAACCCAGACATCACTTTTGCCTATGCCATGAAACCACTATCTACTACGAATACCAATCACCAACCTACTCCATCAAGAAATAATAATAATAATAACAATCCTAATACCAACAACAACTACCGTAATAAAACACCTTCACATCCTGAAAACAAATGAAATGCACAATCAGGTTCATAGTCTGATGATATCCCACCAAACATGAATGAGAAAATTCTTTTTGATAACATTATCTACCTTACGCCTAATAGCACAGTATATAAGGGTACAAAAGCAGGTGGTTCTATGCACGCGAATAATGATGATGATTTCAAAGAATTTATTAAGTCCCAATTTAGTAGTTTCACAGAAAACATAAGCATCATCATGAGCATCTTAATGTTCACTGTTAAACAGGTGGAATCAATTGAACAATCTCTTAATATCAAGGTCATCACTCCAGTAGAGGCCGATGTACAAAATCTTAATGCTGGTGAAATGGAAGAGGAAGTTGAACCTACTATTGACTCATCAGCATCCATCATTTTGAAACAACAAAAAACCATTGAAGATCTTAGAAATATTAATGCTATACATCAAAACCGCCTCAAGTCCTTTACTACAATAGTTAATACTCTAGTTCAATCATGCGCTACCTTTCAAAACGTACTTTTAAAAAATAATTTGCTTCCCCCAAGAACAGGCCAATAATATCTTTCCACTTGGTGTAACATTTGATACTGATATTGAACATTATATTAAAAACCTCCCTCAATATTAATTTTTTATGAACACTGTCCCTATTGATAATAATGCACAAGATGCATCAATTCTAACACAACTCCTCCAAATCACACCTATTCTCCTTTTTATCTTTTGCTTCACATAATACTGCAGCTTCACTAATATCACTAAACAATATTCCCTTATTGAACAATACCTTTCTTTAAATGTAGATGTCATTGGTCTACAAGAAACTAACTTCCTTCAACAATACATTCGACTGTTTAATTTTGAACACTCATCTAATTTCATGGGTTTCTTCAGTTCTGAATCAACTTCTAATAAAACTGGCTTTGGCATTAGCATCCTATTATGACCATTACTAGCCAATCATGTTTTTTATCACAAACAAATGTTCAACCGTATTATTTATGTTGACCTCCAATTTACCAACAAACAAAAATTGAGATTCATTAATTGCTACTTGCTTCCATCTGACATTTCAACAAGAAAATTGGTTCAAAAAGAATTAGTAAAATTGATCAATAATGCTATTTCTAAGGATTTCCACATTATTTTAACTGGGGATTTCAACACTAATATGAACTGAGACAAGAACTCAAAGGGTGCAAAAGAATTTTTTTCGTTACTTCAAAATTTGTATTTATTCGACGCATGCATATTGAAACACAGTAATGATCAGGTCAAGTATTCAACTTTCAAATCAATGACTTCAACTTACATTGATTTTGTTTGGACTTCTGCGGAATATGCCTATAACTTTAACACTTGTAACACTGTATCTGTATTACCACAAATTTCTGATCATGCAATTGTAAGTTGTTTCATAGATAACTATCTCGAAGTCAAGAACAACAAATGAAATATTCTGAAAAAGACGGTATACGATTATGATAAGATGACCGATAAACTCTGGAAGGAATACAAAGACAAAATGGACACCCTTACCAACAGTTGTGAATTACGCCTCTTAAAATTTAACACAAAACTTAACCAGGCCAAACTTAATTTTTACTGGGACTTGTTACAAGCCTGTATCATCAAAGCTGCTAACAGTGTTATTCTATCACATAAATCATCTGGACAGCATAAACTAAAAAAACCTCCTTTGTTGACTAAACTGTATAAAAATCTTAGATTCTTATATAAGTTTAAGAAGAAAATCAAGATGGCATGCAAGTCTGACAAGTTACCAGGAGATTGGTTCTTACTGTATAATCAATTCCATAAGATTTCTAATGCTTTCAGATATCAGTTAATAGCACTACCCCACGCTAAACATGTTGTTTCTGATATTGTTATTTCTGTGTGTTAAAATTCTACTTAATTGTCTCCTAATTAAGAGTAAACTTCACGAGCAGGAATTCAAGTTGAAATCAATACAACAAGCAATTGAGAGCAGGTTGGATAATTATACAACCACTCCATTTCGAATGATCAATTCAGTACTTAATCATTCAAGAAAGACAATAGTGTTAGATAGATATCTCGATCATGCATCTGGATCACATGATCTTCTGACAGATGAAACGCTTGTCAAAAATAGAGTTAATCAGCACTTCTAGTTGGCTGCAGGCACTTCTCATGAAAATATGGTTATTCCAGACAAATGGAATTCCTTTTATAAACCAATAGATAATATCAATAACTCTATATATGATGGACTCATGGCTCTACCCACAGCTGAGGAATGGTATAACATTCTCACCACATTGCCAAACGGTAAAGCTCCTAATCCTTCCAAAGTATCAAATGAAATGTTAAAACACCTTGGTCCATATGCGAACAAATTACTTTGGTATATCATCTGTCATTATTTATTGGAATTGACTCTTTCATATCGGTGGAACATTGCATTTATATACCTAATACCAAAACTGAAACCATGGAAATATGACCTCAATAATACCAAACCAATCATACTTTTAGAGTGCCTTCAGAAAGCTCTCATTAAGTTACTCAATCGGCATCTATCAACAATTATCATTCAGCATAATGTGCTCAAGGGGCTCAACTTCGCTAGGCTTTCGTATAAATTGACTTTTAAACCACTTCGTATAGTGGACAACATTAAATTCGACTCTATTACGAACAACAAAGATCCCTGGATGCTGTCTCAGAATATGTCTAAAGCTTACGATTGAGTAAACTTGTTCATGCTCATAAGAGCACTTAAACGGCTTCGCATCCCTTTTAATTTTATTAAATTTATTCTCAAAATGTTTGAAAATCAGTACAACT